ATAACTTTAACTTGCATATAAGGCGAGGGAGGCTTTTTCAGCCTAAAAAAGGAGCTGAAAAACTCTGCTTATACTCGAGTATATACGGTATATTTATTTATACCCTCCTCTCCCGAAGGGACTCAGCATAGAAACATCAATGCTACTTTCAAATATCTATAAAAACAAGTAGTCTTTCCAGATTTTGCTTCCAGGTTATAGCTATTCAAAAAGATAACAGCAACAAGCAAGACAATGGACTGATAATCAAAGAGTCTGAGGACAGCTATAAGGCAATTATATACGTCTACACTGTCTACATGTCAGTGTAAATGTGGCCTTGGTTTCTGCCCATCATCTGCCATGGCTGCTGGGTCCAGTGATGAGCTAATCTCTACAAAGCGTGCCATAATAAAGGCAAACAGCCCCCAACCATTTCCTACCTTATGTTCAACATTGTTCTGTTGTGCTTTGTCTAAGTGAACCTTTATGAGCCGGCTACCATCCAGTTTTACGCGGATTCTTTTGCCCACAATTTCACTGGGGAAAACCAGGTCTTCAAGAATGGCATCATGCACAGCAGTAAGTGTACGGCTACAAGGAAACACAGTATACATTTTAAATATTTTCTACTAATGGCATCTGAATTTCTCTCCTACTGATGAAAATCCATAGACTAACAGATCAAACAAGACTGTGTGGAAGGGGCTCCAGGATAGCCTCTCTTTTTCTTATTTTTGTTTATCTATTAGTTATATCCCACCTTTAGCATCAAAGAGCTCAAATGCATGCACATGATTCCCCTCCTCCACTGTTTTATCCTAGCAATGGTACAAATGCAGAAGGCTAGGCTGAAAGCGACTTTCTTACAGAAATAGTTTCAATATTGCTAATGATTTTCTGTTTAATACGTCCTGCTCAATTTCCAGAATGAATGTGTTCATAGCTGACATATGTATTTAAACAGCTATATCATGTTTTAGCGAAACCATGTCTCTCTGCCCGGAAATGGTTACTGAACAGAATGGAGGAAGTTGAACAGTCAAGATAATGCCATCCAGACATTTAATACCTGCTTCTTATATACAGTGCAGTAAAGTAAGTTACATTTGAAGGACATACTTTATACTATTGCAAACTACATTCTAAGATGAAAATTCATATAGCTACTTCCACACAACTGTATGGCTCCATCTACACTGACTACTCAATGCAATTTCAAACTTAACAGAGGAAATCCTAAAACCAGTTTGACATCCAGATGGCGATGACACAAAGAAACAGAGCACTGATGTACACTGATGCACAGTAAAGGCTTTCTTTTGCTCAGCAAACAATATTGATTAGATGGGCCAGTGGTGCACCTCACTACTGGCATGTTCCTAAGTCTATTTAGAAATGACTTTCTCAAGTCTGTGAGGTGTAGACTGTGGCTGTGAGCAAGTCAATTGCCTTTGAATTTATGTGGCCCATCAGTTGCAGCAACTTCTGCCCACCAATAAAGCTAGCTTCGAACTGCATTAAATAGTCAGTGTAGATGGGACCTATGTCAAAACTGCAAAATTTGGATTACTGTTACAGGACCACCTAACCATAAATTGAAAATTTGGCATGTTGACTAAATCAGTGGTTCTGGCATTTTGCTCCTAAACCAGCCAAGATTCATATACCAAGAGGAAAAACCATTTTGAAATCTTGGCTTGTAAAAACAGGAAGCTAAATGCTTACAAATCTTTTTGTTGGCTAGTCAATAAACAAAGCTGTGTGTTTGACACAACTGACTAAGAAGCTCAAAGGACATTATACAACAAGCCTTACACTCTAAATGCACTAAACAACCACAGTAGTGATGCTGCCCATGTTCCACCCCTGAGCCCAACACAGACAACAATTCTAGTTAATCACCATTATTAAAGAAGCCAGGGGTGAGAGAGAAAACACAGTTAAAAGTAGCATTTTAATGTTTTTTCCCCCGTAAATTATACAACAGAAGACACTGCAACCGATGGGCCACATACTCAACAGAATTTGGTTTGATCACATGCACGGTCTACATCTCACAGTCCTGAATACATTAGGAACACAACAATATTGAGGCTCACGACTGTTGGTCTAATCCAGCAGTTCTCAACCTGTGGGTCCCTAGGTGTTTTGTCCTACAACTCCAAGAAATCCCAGCCAGTTTACCAGCTGTTAGGATTTCTGGGAATTGAAGGTCAAAGCATCTTGGCACCCACAGGTTGAGAACCACTGGTCTAATCAATATTGTTTATTCTATTAGATTTCCATAATCTTTCCAAACTGCCTTATTCCAGATCCTTGCAAACAGATGAATAGTAAGATAAAATTAATATTGTTTCATTTTATTTATTTTTTTGAAGCACCAAACCTTTAACTATCCATGTCCATGGTATGGAAAGCAGTAGTATTTGATTTTAATATGTATGTAAATGCTGCTGTTCCTATCAACAAAAAGAAGCATGTGACTTTGAACTTACCTCCTGGGACGCTTTTGCTTGTTTTTTGTGCGGCTTTTTCTTGTTGGCTTTGGCAAAATTCTCCGCTGTTAAAAAAAGAGAGTTCTGTCTGACATCTTGTGGCTCAGAAATAATGCAAATCCAATGAATATAATTAAACAAAGACTAGATTAAAATGCACCAATTGCAGATTAAAGGTCTGTTTTATCACAATTCATTTTAATAGCCAAACTCCCATCTCAACAAAAAGCTATCAACCTGCTGGTAGAAGGGTATTTGGAAGATTGCTCCTGACTTATCCAGACCTTCTGAACTTCATAGGGTCTTCTTAGACAAGCAAAACTAAGAGGTCATTTTGCCAGTTATTTCCTCTGAAATATAGCATTATTGTAACACCTGGTTTCATTGGTGGTTTCCTGAACATGCTTACCTTCTAAGATCAGGCCAGATTTAGTGCCTTTAGGGTATTTGAGCTAAATGGAATAGTACTTTTAACCAAATAAGAAAGTATGGAGCTACAGCATATTGCATAATAAGGTTAATGGTTCCTCATCTGTGAATGCCGAATTAAGATGAGTATTATAGGAATTACAAGTTGCCACCTACCTGGGCAATGAACACCACATGCTTCCCACTGAATTTTTTCTCCAGTTCTCGAACTAGCCGCACCTGAATCTTCTGAAAAGACTTCAGCTGAGGGACTGGTACAAATATGATGATGGCTTTTCTCCCACCACTCACTTCAATTTCCTAAAGAAGCAAAAGCTTAGATTCAGATTTGAAGAACTGCAGAAAATGCTAGATTGTATTGGTTCTACAAGCCAGGAAACTATTTGATATCACCTCAAGTCAAAAATCCATCTCATTCAGCAAATTTCAGCAGAAATCTCTCCAAGATTTGTCACGGGATAACTCTGCTCAGATTTTCTGTTCTAATAACAAATTACAACTACTCTGTTTTGGGTGTATTTAACTTAGTTTTCAGGCCATTTTAATTTCATATCCATTTTGGCAGTCTGTGTAACCACCAGAACAGTAGTTCCTAACCCATGGGTCCCAGGCCACAGATGGGCTGTGAGACCTAAAATAACGTGTGCAAGCGGGAGACAAGGAAGGAAGGAAATACCAGTGTGTTGCCCTCACTTTCTTGGCCGGCGGAGAAGACTGACCAGGCAGCACGCACGAAGGGATGAGAGCGATGGAGGGAAGGAAGGCTGTTGCACTTCCTAGCTCTTTCTCAACCATGGGAGGCTTCCCAGGCCAGGGTGGAAAAGACTTGCCCGGGAGCACAAGCGAGGAAAATCCCTCAAATGTATTATTAGCTCCCATTGCCACACATCAGTTGTAATGGGAAAGCAGCCCTTTGTAAGACCCTGTTTATTCCTGTAAAGTTATTGCTGTTATTATTTTACTGACAAAAACACAGTATGTCACAGCAAACAAGATATATATGCTGGATTTTGTATCACAAAAATCACAAATCAAACACTTCCCAAGTGTCTAGGACTGTGTGATGTATTTTTAATGATGCGCACAGATCCAAGTAAGGTGGCCTTTTGCAGTTGACAGATCATGATTTTGTCAATGTTTATTGTTTCCAAATGCTGACTGAGATCTTTAGGCCTGTTCCTCGGGTTATTTGATACAGAAAATTGCATTGGATAAACCATATCAGTTCTAGATGATTAAATATGGTTTTCTGTGGGTGAGCAGATGGCGATGACTGGATGGCATATGTTCTGTATCAGAAACTACAGCTGATGTGGTCTGTCCGATGCGGTTTTCTGAATCAACACCCCAAATAACCAAACCGAATCTAAAGTTGTCCAAAACCTGATTTGTAACCCTATTGATATAATGTTGGAGTGGTCTCTGGTCAAAGTGGTCCCTCGTAAAAAAAAAAAAAAAGGTTGGGAACCACTGCACTAAAAGGTTTCAGAGGTAGAAATCACTAATTGCTTACACAGATACTTGGAATACCAACCGTCCAAGGAAGGAAAATATTAAATTACAGAGAAACTGAAAAAAGGAAATCAAGAAATCAACTTTTAAAATAAATTATATATATCTCTAGAGTTTAGGCTTATGTGTAATTATGTGTATATTGTGTAGTTTGACAACGCTGGCTCTTCGGCTTAGAAATTGAGATGAGCACCACTCCCCAGAGTCGGACACGGGGAAAACCTTTACCTATGTTTGTTTTCATCGTTGTGTAAGTATTTTGGCATGTTTTTCTGTTAAAAATTAATTAATAATACTGTAAAAGAGTATACTGTAAAATGCTGTAAAAACACAATTGAAATGACCGAACCCAGTTAAACAGAATCAAGAAGTTCTTTGGAGCACTTATTCTACTGCATGAAATAGTCTAAATATCAATATTGTATTAGCCAATACATTCAACGTTTTTAAAACTAAGTATGTACCCCCAGAAACTCCCTAATCTTTAAGTGTTTCTGGAAAACAAAATTTAGAAAGACAAAGTGCATGTTAGGCTACAAAAGTAAAAGGTAAGTATCTCATTTTCCTGAGCAGCTGACGATTGGATGTGTCCTGCATGGTTTATCTCCTCAGTAACCGCAAATACTGAGAAGTTATAGGAATATACAGGACGCCTCCCCTCAACAGCCTTTTCAGCCGGAAGGGAAAACTTGCTCTCCAACATTGTGGAATGGGAATATACATCATTGCTCCCATGCGCCACTCGGGCAGAGCCATGTGAAAGCAACCTCACTGGATACCCATGTTGGGCTCTGTTTTGGACTGCAGCAGCCTATATGCCTGTCTGCTAACAATTTTTTTCAAAATAAACCCTAGGCATTATACATTAGTTCAAATGCCAACATGGTAGATCCACCAATGCCAAATATAATCTGCACCACAGGGAAGCAGATGTTTAAGCTACCTTTGCTGCTGTGATATTAAGTTCTCTCAGTTGAGCTTTCAAGTCAGAATTCATCTCTAACTCCAGAAGAGCCTTAAGGAAAGAAAGTTAAAGAAAAATAAACACATTATACAAAACTGTGCTAAATGCAAGTCACTGTTTTGACTTTTAGCAACAATAACTACAATCGTTAGTAGAAAAGCTTGAAAATGAAATAATTATAGTAATTAATAGAACAATCCAGCAACAACACTTACTCTTATATACTGAATCACCAAGTTATTCTGATCAGCAGATCAACTGCTACTATATATTCAGCAGGCCAAATGATGAGGTTTTTACAATTTAGTGTTTTCCAGATTCACTGGAATATGGTCTAAGCATGATAAATTATCCTACACATACTACATGTATTTCACAAGCATTCTTCAAACTGTGTTGGGAAACAACATTACAGTCCCTAAACAACAGTGGACCCACTGCACTGATACAAAAACCACAGATAATTTTGCTCCATATAATTAAATTGCAATAACTTGAATGCAGATGCTTTAGTGTGCCTGTGCTCACACTGCCACCATTTAATAATATGAGGCTTTATGACCTGTGGTCAGTTGCAATCACGGAGATGGAGAGCCTACTATATTTGTTTGACAGAAGGCCCTGCTTGCTGATTGCAAGTGAAGGTGACAATATGGCCAGATGAAAGGTGCACATACCTGGGAGATGCCAGATTCAAATTCATCTGGCTTTTCGCCATTGGGCTTCACGATCTTTGCGCTGGAACTGAACATGGCCTTTCTGCATTCAGAAAGCAACAACATATTTCAAAGGATTGTTAGAAAAAATGCTTTTCCTACCACAACAGCAGAAGAGCACAGGTGAGCTAAAACCTTGAGAGCAAGTGAAGGCTTATAAACATAGGTTTCCTGCAACGTTATTTAAATGACAACCCTTCTGACTTTAGGCCTAAATGGATAATAAATGACATATAAATCAATAGCAGAGGTGCCATGAATAGGAATAAGGGAAAGTAACTAAGTCCCCTTTCACACAGCTGAATATAATCCCACATTTTCAGCTTTGAACTGGAATATAGGGCGGTGTGGACACAGATAACCCAGTTCAAAGCAGATATTGTGGGATTTTCTGCCTTGATATTCTGGGTTATATGGCTATGTGGAAGAGCCCTGAGAGAATGTAATATGAACTAAATCTAGTTCTATAGCAAATAGTTCAGCAGACTTTGCTAAATAAAAGAAAGAAACAAGCTGTTTCTAACAGAAGTCCCCACATCAACACATACAGGAGAGTAACAACAACAGTGTACCAACTAAAAGTATAACAATCCTACAAATATCAGTTAGTCAAACAGCAATAATTCTGCGGTGTAGATCAGGCACAGACAATCTTCAGCCCTCCATGTGTTTTCGACTTCAACTCCCAGAAATCCCAGCCAGCTTACCAGCTCTGTTGGGAATTGTGAAAGCTGAAGACCAAAACAACTAAGTTTGCCCATGCCTGGTGTTGGTACATTTCTAGGTAGGGTTCCATACAGCATAGTGTTTTGAATACGAAGAATAACAAAGCTTTCTATTAAGCTCAATCATCTCAACTGTACAAGTAAGTCAAAAACTACTACTATGCAATTTTCACTTAGCACAAAATCTTCATGCAGAGACTTAGGCAGAAGGTGGGCAATGGATAAACATCTAGACCAGTGGTTCTCAACCTGTGGGTCCCCGGGTGTTTTGGCCTACAACTCCCAGAAATCCTAGCCAGTTAACCAATTGTTATGATTTATGGGAGTTGAAGGCCAAAACATCTTGTGACCTACAGGTTGTGAACCACTATCCTGCAACTTCCATCAGCCCTATCATGGCAATGGTAAGGGATGTGAGTTTCATTTTAAGAATACTACAAAGCCAAAGGGTGCCCATCCCTACTGTGGTGTCACACACAACAACCCTAGCTATGAATACTTGAAGTTTCAGAAAAACCCACAAATAGTAACAGCACTACGAGGTCAATTCAGAACAGTCTGGGTCCCCATTCCCCCCACCCTAAATGCCTCAGACTTCTAGTAATCTGACACAAGAAAGACAGGAGAGTACATTACCTATGGGTGCATCTACACTGTAGAATAAATGCAGTCTGACACCACTTTAGGTGCCATGGCTAAATGCTATGGAATGCTGGGATCTGTAATTTTACAAGGTCTTTCACCTTTTTTGACAAAAGTGAACTGGAGACACACCAGATGATGGCTCTCAGGATTTCAAAGCATTGGGCCATGGCAGCAAACGTGGTGTCAAAAATTAATTCTAAATAAGGGCTATCTATCTACCTCCAAAGTTACTATCTACTCTACAAAGCAAGCACACACTGTTGAAGCTTTTGCCAGCCATGTGCTATGGCTGGTGCTAGAGAAACCATTCAATCTGTATGGCCTGTTGAGAGGAAAGGGACAAAACATAAAGGCAGAGCTGCAGAAGGGAAGTCTTGCCCAATGGGTAAAGCTGCTAGTAATCCATAGGAGGAGGAGGGAAGCCTTTTAGAAGAAAAACCTGACATTCAAGAGCAAGGAAAGCATAGATTGTGGACATCCTTTATCTGAAAACCCATCCAAAGGTCCACATGGCTGGCTGAGACAGTGCCACCTCTCCTTCCTGGTGCTTCAATGTACACAAACCCTTCCCTCTGGGACATTATTTAAACTATTATGTATAGAGTGGGCCTTGGGATATGTATAAGGTACATATGAAAAATATAAATCAGTTTTCTGTTTGAACTTGGGTTTCCATCTCAAAAATACCTTGTTATTTATATGCCAACACTCCCCAATCCCAGACAAATCGAAGCCCAAAGTGACCCAAGGGAAGGAACCCCTGGCCCAGCCCTGCTCTGTCCCTCTGCCTCAATGAAGCCCCCATTTCACAGTGAGGCTCCATCTCTGGGTCCCTTTCCCGCCCCAAGCGGCCATCCGAGGCGGAGGGATAGCAAATCGGACACATCCCCGGTCCCTCGGTCTTCTGACGCTTGCTGCCCTCAGCTAGGCTCAATATCACCGGATCTCTCCGCGAAAAACGTCCCGCGCCCTGCACTAGGCCCAGGCCCATCACACCTACCACTTTCAGCGCCGGCCCAAGGAAGAGGAAGAGTTATCGCGAGTACACCACAAGTTCCCGTCCAAGGAGCGCACGCCCACCTATCGCCGTGAAGCCGCACCCGGAAGCCGAGAGGGAAAGACACTTCCGCCCTGCTGAAGCCTCCAGGCGGGAGCAAACTCCTGGCAGAGCTGGAGGCGGGGCTCTATGACACTGTTCGAACGTTCCATGTGTGCATGGTGGATGTATGTGTGTATATGTACACACTGCTTTCTCAAGTATTTTAGCTGAAGTATGTATGTATATAGATACATACATCTTCTTATATAAATAAAAATGTAATGTTCGTTTGTGGGTTTAACAGAATTCAAAAACCACTGGACGAATTGTCACCAAATTTGGACACAAGACAGCTAACAACCCAATGTATGTCCTTCACTCAAAAAAAGAATGCTTTTGTCATTTGGGAGTTGTAGTTGCTGGGATTTAGAGTTCACCTACAATCAAAGAGCGTTCTGAACCCCACCAAAGATGGAATTGAACCAAACTTGGCACACAGTTCTCCTATGACCAACAGAAAATACTGGAAGGGTTTGGTGGGCAGTGTCCTTTGGTTTTGGAGTTGTAGTTCACATACATCCAGAGATCACTGTGGACTCAAACAATGATGGATCTGGGCCAAACTACACGAATACTCAATGTGCCCAAATGTGAACACTAGTAGAGTTTGGGGAAAATACAATCGTGACATTCGGGAGTTGTACTTGCTGGGATTTATAGTTCACCTACAATCACAGAGCATTCTGAACCCCATCAATGATAGAATTGGGCTAAACCTCCCACACAGAACCCCCATGACCACCAGAATGGGCCACAGCAACACGTAGCAGGGGACGGCTAGTAAAGTAAATAAATAAGATAATGGCATGCATTTCCATGTCCAACTAGGAGCAATTGCCATGAAAGTCAACAAGAGGGACCAAGGGTAATGCAAATCATTTGCAGTAGGATGCTACATGACCCCTTTGAATTCAGTGTAGCACGCATGGGCAGTGGCCCGGGAACATGGCGATGGAGAATGCTGAGTTCTGAGAATACAAGCTTTGCTTGGGCCATAGAGGAAAGTAAAGGCTTCCTTTCAATCTCACCCTTACTTCTGGATGCCACTGAGTCACCGACATATGAGGGGTAGTGTGTGATACAGTCAAAAGTAGCATTTTATATGGCTTTTTCACCAAGCAAAATATGTTTTTGTTTACTAAAAATACAAGTATTTGATGCCCTCTCTGCTTTTAGTCAAGAAACAATCAGGGCCAGCTAACAAAGGATCCCCGGCAGCAACCAGACAGACCTTGAAGTTACAAGGCCATTCAATGCTAATCAAGGTGGCCATGTGCAACATGCACACTTGCCTCAAGCAGACAAGAGTTTTTTCTCCCACCCTGGACATCTCATATAAACCTTACTTGCCTAGTTTCTAACAGACCTCAAAACCTCTGAAGATGCCTGCCATAGATGAGGGCGAAATGTCAGGAGAGAATGCTTTTGGAGCATGACCATACAGCCCGGAAAACTCACAGCAACCCAGTGATTCTGGCCATGAAAGCCATCGACAACACATTCCCTCTGCTATTTATTCATTCTATCAGGAGCAAACCAAGGGTACAGTTGTAATGTATTTTTAAAAAACAAACTCTGCTTACTTTGGAGAACTTATTCCCTTCTCCATTTCTTCTGACTACTTGGAAATTGGCTCTATCCACTCTGCAAAACCGTATTGACTACAATGGCCCAGTGCTATGGAATTCTGGATTTGTAAACTGATGAGATATTTGCCCTTCTTTCAGAGAGCCACCATAAACTACAAATCCCAGGGCTCCACATAATGGCTGCGTCTACACTGTCGAATGAGTATCTCCCACTAACTAACTGGTTTTTATTTTAGCACAAGTCTACAGAGTGCATCTACACTGTAGAATTAATGCAGTTTGGCATTACTTTAACTGCCATGGCTCAATGCTATGGAATTGTAGGAATTGTGGTTTTACAAGGTCTTAATCCTCCTTTGCCCAAGAGGGCAGGTGCTTCAACAAACTTCAGATCCCAGGATTCCGTAACATTGAACCATGACAGTTAAAGTGTTTTGTTGAAGGCTTTCATGGCTGGAATCACTGGGTTGTAGTAGGTTTTTTGGGCTATATGGCCATGTTCTAGAAGCATTCTCTCCTGACATTTCATCTGCATCTATGGCAAGCATCCTCAGAGTTTGTGAGATCAGACCTCTGAGGATGCTTGCCATAGATGCAGGCGAAATGTCAGGAGAGAATGCTTCAGGAACATGGCCATACAGCCCCAAAAAACTACAACAACCCAGTTAAAGTGTTGTCGAACTGCATTAAATCTATAGTGTAAATGCACCAAAGGGGAGACAATGGGCAACAGTAAAAATAACTCTCCTTGGGATCAAACAGAACATCACCAAAACAAGTCTCCTCTTGAGATCCATCTGCGCCTGCGCGGCTTGCTGTTATTCCATCACAGAGTTCCACTTCCGCATTGCATTGTGCGCCGGCGCAGTGCCTTCCGGGATGGGCCCGGGTCTTCTCTGCTGGAGGGGGCAGAGGGGGCGTGGCTAAGGTGCTAATATGTTGCGCCGCATCCTGGCTTTCCTGGTTTTCCCGCGTTTTCTCCCAAAAGGCGGCAAAGAAGATCTCCCTCGCGGCAGCATGTTTTACGCGGTGAGAAATGGCAGAAGGACAGGCGTGTATCACACCTGGTAAGCCGAGCAGGGTCTCCATTTCCACTTGAATCCCAATTCAGTTTGTCTCAGGCAATAAAACGTGTCCTTTCCTTGTCTATTTTAGCAGACTTGGCAAATAATTTGGAACACAACTCCCATCATTCCTATACATGCCTAGCTGCTGGATTGGGGGAGTTGTAGTCCAAGAGAAAGCTCTCTGTCCCCACTCTCCCCACTTATATTGTGAATACTGTGATGTCTCCATTGTCTTTGCATTGTCTTTGCAGCGTTAACACAGTTTGGTACCACTATAATTGCAAAAGCAGTGCTGTCGAATTATGGGAGTTTTAACTTGACCAGGCCTTTATGTGATGACGCCTCACCAAACTAGACACCCCATGATTCCATAGCATTGAGCCAGAGCAGTTAAAATGGCGTCAAACTGCATTAATTCTACAGTGTAGAGGTGGCCAGAAGCACATCACCCTCTTGTTTCCAAATTATGGCAACCCCAATGTGAACCTTGAGCGGGCTTTCCTCGGCAAGGTTTGTTCAAAGGGGGTTTGCCATTATCTCCCTCAGGCTGAGAGAGTGTGACACCCAAAACTAGCCATTTGGTTTCCATGCCTAACCCAGGATTCAAACTCTGGTCTAGAACTGGGCCTATGAGCATTGGAGAGGCCTGTTATTTGTTATTGTTTTATTATTGCCCCTGGTGGCGCAGAAAGATAAACTGCTGAACATGTTGACTGAATGGTTGGCGGTTCGAATCTAGAGAGTGGGGTGAGCTCCCACGGTTAGTCCCAGCTTTTGCCAACCTAGCTGTTTGAAAACATACAAATGTGAGTAGGTCAATAGGTATCGCTCCGGCGGGAAGGTAACAGCATTCTATGCAGTCATGCTGGCCACATGACCTTGGAGGTGTCTATGGACAACGCCAGTTCTTTGGTTTACAAATTGAGATGAGCACCACCCCCCAGAGTTGGATATGACTAGACTTAATGTCAAGGGCAGGGGTCCTCAAACTTTTTAAACAGAGGGCCAGGTCACAGTCCCTCAAACTGTTGGAGGGCCGGATTATAATTTGAAAAAAACATGAATAAATTCCTATGCACACTGCACATATCTTATTTGTAGTGCAAAAACACTTAAAAACAATACAATAATTATAATGAAGAACAATTTTAACAAATATAAAATTAATAGTATTTCAGTGGGAAGTGTGGGCCTGCTTTTGGCTGATGAAATAGGATTGTTGATGTTGTGTGCTTTCAAGTCGTTTCAGACAGGTTGATCCTGAGCGAGGGCCGGGTAAATGACCTTGGAGGGCCGCATCCGGCCCCCGGGCCATAGTTTGAGGACCTCTGGTCAAGGGGAAACCTTTACTAGGGTAAAAAATCCCATCATAACCTGGGATATTTTCTTTCTATGATTGTTCCTTTAATGCAGGGGTCCTCAAACTAAGGCCCGGGGGCTGGATGTTTTAAAGTGTTTTTTACACAACAAATAAGATATGTGCAGCATGCATAGAAATTCATTCATGTTTTTTTCAAATTATAATCCGGCCCTCCAACAGTTTGAGGGACTGTGACCTGGCCCTCTGTTTAAAAAGTTTGTGGACCCCTGCTTTAATGTATGAATCAGCATTCCCTGTAGTTGCTACTGGGGAGTTTGGGGAGGACCAGACTGCTCCAAGGAAGATTAAGAAGTACTAGAATGTGAGCAATAGCATTTTCTTTTACTGCCTTTTATCATTTATCTAGGGAAGAATGTAAAGAACAAGTTGACCGATACCCATATGCTAGTTTTAAAAAGTTTGGTTCAGAAGAGGCGGCTTGGAACTTTGTAGATGGGGGGACATCTTCCTCAACAGGTAAGCATTCAGAGGACTGTTTTTGGCAGAATTGGAAGCAGCCTCCTGATACATAGAGACAATATATTCCTGCTTCTTGGCAGGGGGTTGGACTGGATGGCCCATGAGGTCTCTTCCAACTCTTTGATTCTATGATTCTATATGTTACGTATGTGATGTTGAAGCCAAAACATGTAACGTATTGGGTTGTTGTGAGTGTTCTGGGCTCCATGGCCATGTTCCAGAAGCATTCTCTCCTGATGTTTCGCTTACATCCTCAGGTTGTAAGGTCTGTTGGAAACTAGACAAGTGGGGTTTAAATATCTGTGGAATGTGGTGGGAGAAAAACTCTTGTCTACTTGAGGCAAGTGTGAATGTTGCAAATGGCCATCTTGATTAGCATTGAATGGTCTTGAATCTTCAAAGCCTGGCTGATTCCTGCCTGAATTGTTGGAAATAGCAACCTTCCCAGCCATTACTATTTGTTAACCCGTATTGTATGTATATGTTGATTAGCCAGTTTGACTGACTTCTTTGGTGTGTGAGGGGCTACAGACATGTGATTATACTGAACATTCAGACTCAAGACTCCATTTTGTTATTCTGTATGTATTTGGACTTTAGTGAGTATAGTTACATAGCTTGGACTTTCATAAGTTATACCTTTAAAGATTTTGGACCAAGCTGGACACAGCATATTATTTGAGAACACAGAAATGCTGGAACACTCTAACAACCACCATGTCAGACTACACAGAGAATCCATTGAAATCCACAAGCATGTGGGCAATTTCAACAGAAAGGAGGAAACCATGACAATTAACAAAACCTGGCTACTAGCATTAAAAAGCTCTAAAATCGTGATGGTAAAAAAAAAGAAAGAAGAACACTCAGAAAACAGGGCAATTCCTGACATGAAACAATCAGGGCCAGCTAACACCTCCCAACAAAGAACCCCCCAGGCAGGTAGCAGCCAGGTTTTGAAGCTCCAAGGCCATTCAGTGCTAATCATGGTGGCCAATTGCAACATTTACACTTTCCTCAAGCAGACAAGAGTTCTTTCTCCCATTCCGGACATCCCACAGATATATAAACCCCACTTGCCTAGTTTCCAACAGATCTCACAGCCACCGAGGATGCCCGCCATAGATGCGGGTGAAATGGCAGGGGAGAATGCTTCTGGAACATGGCCATACAACCCAGAAAACTCACAATATGTTTCATATTTTTCTTAATAACTGTAGTAGTCTTGTTAGCAAAGGAAACACAGGTATCAATTAAAGGTCTGGTCTTGCTTCCAAAAAGGCCTGTATCTTTTATTTCCTGTAGTTCTCTTAGTTGGCATCACTTTAATTGCTGTGACTCAGTGCTTTAGAATCCTGGGAGTTCTAGTCTGGTGAGATACCAGCCTGCATAGGCAGAGAGGACCAAAGACCTTGTAAAACCACAACTCCCAGGATTCCATAGCATTAAACCATGGCACTTTTAAGTGTTGTCAAACCATGTTAATACTACATTGTAGATACCTCCTTAATCCTGTTTCATACTGTCCATATGTTCGTAGATATTCTGATGACTTTGGGGGGGGGGGGGTCTTGCTTTCGATTTATTTCCTTATTTTACTGTATTTTAATCAGTAAAAAATAAAAGTTACAGTTGGAAAAATAAAGCAGCAGTAATCTTCCATTTTTGTGGGACTGCCTGTCGTACTTTATTATTGACAAATAGTAAGAAAAATCTTGAGGATTTTTTCCATACTTTTAGTTATAACTTTTAGTTATATATTTTTAGTTTTAGTTCCCAACCTTTGATCTTCCAGATGTTTTGAATTTCAGCTCCCTTAATTCCTAACAGCTGTTAAGATTTCTGGAAGCTGAAGTCCAAAACACCTGGAGAACTAAAGGTTGAAAACCACTGAGTTATAAGAATGCTTTCAGCTCTTGTCCTTAAGCCACTGATAACTATTAGATAACATTAAATCACTCTTTTTTGAGAACCTAAACTGCATTACTGTATATGCTTATTTTGGAGCAGAGGCACATAAACTCGGTTGTGTTTATTTTTAAGGAAACATAGGCCGTAGTTGTGAGAAGTCTGCACTTTCAAGCATTATTGTATATCCCTTGCTATGAGGGATCTACATCAGGATGTTGTCCTCAAGTGAAGCTCTCTGTTGTGTGAAACCATATCTTCCTTTTGGATTAGGCACATTGGCAGAGGAAGCCAGTCATGCAGACACAACACCTCCTGACGACCCATCACCTGTTGCTGAAGGTGCTCTCCACAATTGTTCCGGTGCATAGTGTGTGTTAGACATGCATGACCCGCTGTGCTGTGTCCCCTGCCCCGTCCCCTTTGTGCTTTAGCTTCGGGAGCTTTTCTAACTTGCTTTGCATGACTAAAATACAGCCTGACAGCCTCTTGCTCTAGTTCAGTCGAGTATTTCTTAGAAAGACATGAATTGCCATTTCATTGTCACTTTGGAATTGTTTTCCTGTGTACTCTACTTGTTTAATTTTCAAAATTAGGTTTGGTGGGGCAAGGATAGAAGCTTGGAGATATATGGGAGGAACAAGAGCATAAAGAGCAAAATCTTTAGTAGGAAACATTAAATCACCAACAGCATTCAAATTTCTTGCAATGAACCATTTTCTGTGGGATTCCAGATTCAAGATTAAATCAAACATTGCTTTTGGGTATGCTGCTGTACTCTTGCTTTTCTCTAATTTTGCATTGTTGCAGGTTACTATTTTTATTTCATATTAGTATAAATGTGAAAGAGAGCCCTATCGAAGGTGTACCTTCTACACAGCCATATAACCCAGAATATCAAGGCACTGGGTTAATTTGAGTCCACACTGCTATATATTCCAGTTTCGAGCAGAAAATGTGGGATTATGTTCAGCTGCGTGGAAGTGGCCTCAGTTAACAAAGTTACTGGACTTTAATGGAAACTTTGGTACCAGAGATAGAAATAATAATATAATATAAAACAATATAATGTATGTACATATAACTTGTAAGCCTCTCTGTGTCCCCTTCAGGGTGAGAAAGGTGGCATGTAAACATTGTAAATAAATAAATGACACTGAAGGAAAACTGTTAGGTTCCTGTATCAGGAGAGCAGGATAATTTATTTATTTTTATTTATTATTTAAAACATTTATATTCCGTCTTTCTCACCCTGAAAGGGACTCAGGGCAGAGCGCAGCCTATATACGGCAAACATTCAATGCCGGGACAAGAATTCATTATATTCATTTAAAACATTTATCTCAATATTAAAATACACTGTTTAAAAATAGTAAGTTGTACCAATCTACTTTCACTCATAAACTTTTCATTCAAAGTTCACACTATGCACATGTGAAATGAGACAGGATGGTTAAGTGAACAAAAGCATTTAGAAACTCCTGGAAACCACCTGAAAGTTTAATCTAAAATTGGTTACTTGCTTTCCCCTTTTCTTTCTGTTTTGCTCTTTATGCTGTCAATAGTGATTTTGGAGACAGCAGTTTGTGATACCTGTTTGTACATAATTAATAGTAATAATAATAATAAAGTTATTTGTGATCTACTCCTCAAGCCTCCAGGCAGGATACAACACAGTAAAAATACACAGCTTAAAAACATAATAATTAAAAGACAGACATAAGATTAAAATAAGAATAATTTGTGCCAATAAATGTATGTTTAAATTGATAGGCTATACTTGAATGGGTTGGCCTGCAAAAAGAGATAGGTGATTACATAAGTAAGCACATTAGGGCAGTGGTTCTCAACCTGCGGGTCCCCAGGTTTTTGGCCTACAACTCCCTGAAATCCCCACCAGTTTACCAGCTGTTGGGATTTCTGGGAGTTGAAAACCAAAACATCTGGGTTCCCACAGGTTGAGAACCATTGCATTAGTATCACCTAGATCAGAATCCCATTCCAGATGAAGCTTCACTGCAATGTTTATTGCAAATACATTGTGACCATCCAATGCAGAAGGTCTGACTTTCTACAGCCGCCCCCTCCCCCGAAACAAAAGAGAAAAAAATTACTTCTAGGTAGACAGAAGATTTAAAAAATGGACACTGGCCTGGGTTCTTATAAAAGACTTTGTAACAAGAAGCATATTTGGTAAAGGCTTTGTTAACTGAGGTATGTTTGTATATTGAAGTAAGTCGGTTCATTCCATGAACACATACAATGTTGGACTCACCAAAGGCAGATTCATTGAAATGAATGGGATGTTCTCCTTGGCCATAAATATTATATTGTGTTTCTAATGTGATTTTGTATTGTCTCAAGCTGGCAGTAGTTATTCTTATGGAGGCGAGAGAAGTAATTGTTACTGGAATGACACTTCTACATCTTGGTCCAATACAAGTTCATCCAAACGATCTTACGAACAGCCCTCAGAAAGCCATCATCAGAGAAAACGTACAAAATACACTGATGCACCATATGAGAACAAAGATAAATTCTCCTATATGGGTCAGTAGCTTTATTTGCAAAGTGTGATTTAACAATGTCTCCCTAATTTTTGAGTATGTCAGACATCCGAAAGGACATTATTCTGTATCTTCTTTCATTTGCAACAGTTCTCTCAAGAAGTTCCATCAAACTTTTGACATAACATTTTTGTAGTTGTCTGCTGTAGACACTTGACTATCATGGCTGTCCCTTCAGAAATACTTAAAGGCTTCGGAAATACTTATTTAAATACTACACATTTAAATAAGACTTACTTATATTCTTGCGTACACTTGCTAATGTGCAAAAGCTGAAATCAGATCTATAATACATTATCTAAAGGATTATTATTGGTATAAGATTTCAAATTGCCATCACATTCATTGTCATTTATACATCGCAATAAGTATTGTACAGATATATATTAAAGCAGTGGTTCTCAGCTTGTGGGTCTCCAGGTGTTTTGGCCTACAACTCCCAGAAGTCCCAGCCAATTTACCAGCTGTTAGGATTTCTGGGAGTTGAAGGCTAAAACATCTGGGAACCTATAGGTTGAGAACCACTGTATTAAAGGCTGTCTTTCCCCTGTGATAGCTATAATCAAAATTTGATGACCGTGAAGACACAAAGGATAGACGAGAAGAGCAAGGATTAAAAATGAGTGAATACACATGTATTCCTTAGAATGAGGGTTAAATAAAAGGCCTCATATAAGAAATCCATTTTAAAGGCAAAATGTTTAGTCTAGTTTCCAATTTAGTTTTCAACATTAAAATTAAACATTTTCTCAAGGTTGCTTGTGTGGTTTATGGAGAAATTGCAATGGTTAGTTATAAATGTTAAAAGTTAGTTTTCTGTTTTGTGTATACTCACTATTACATTTTGAAGCTGCAAGGAAATAAATAAATAAATAAAATGGAATCTCAATGTTTTGTATTTGTAGGAGAATATGCTGTTGTCTATACCGATGGCTGCTGCTCAAGTAATGGGCGAAGTAAAGCACGTGCTGGAACAGGTGTATATTGGGGACCAGGCCATCCTCTGTAAGTAAGATAGCAATGATTGTCCAATAATACGTTGTCAAAACCGTTCTTCTCTTCTGTGGCCCAGACCCCAGGTTTTTTCTATTGTCTCAGAAGCTACATCTCAGAAAAAAGCTTAAGCTGGTGAATACGATTCTTTCTGCTGCCTCATAGGAAATGGTTGTTGTTCAGTCTTGTTAGGATCATTAGTTTACTTTATAGAACTAATGCAGCTGTCATCTGTCTGTGCCAGGGACTTCTCAGAGTCAAGAAACTATGCTGCTGAGGATCAATAGAACATCATTCTAGTGCAGCGTTTCTCAACCTGGGGGTCGGGACCCCTGGGGGGGTCGGGAGGGGGTGTCAGAGGGGTCGCCAAAGACCATCAGAAAACACCTTATTGTCTGTTAGTATTGGGGATCATGTGTGTGTTTGGCCCAATTCTATCGTTGGTGCGACACAGACTGTTCTTTGATTGTAGGTGAACTATAAATGGCAACAACTAGAACTCCCAAATGTCAAGGTTTATTTCCCCCAAACTTTACCAGTGTTCACATTTGGGCATATTGAGTATTCATGCCAAATTTGGTCCAGATCCATCATTGTTTGAGTCCACAGTGCTCTCTGGATGTAGGTGAACTACAACTCCCAAACTCAAGGTCAATGCCCACCAAACCCTTCCAGTATTTTCTGTTGGTCATGGGAAAATACATACTGCATATCAGATATTTACCTTACGATTCACAACAGTAGCAAAATTATAGTTATGAAGTAGCAATGAAAATAATTTTATGGTTGGGGGTCACCATAACATCAGGAACTGTATTTAGGGGTCGTGGCATTAGGAGGGTTGAGAAACACTGTTCTAGTGGCTGATTGATGCCTGATTCCTACCTAGGTGCTTCTATACCAATTCTACCATTTTCATGTATTCCATTATTTTATTTAGATCTCATCTTTGTCCCAGTATGGAACACAAGGCAGCATGCTTCAAGTTTGTGATTTAAAGGAGAATTGAAGATCTCTCTTGGCATCAACATTCTGGACTGAGTCAACCCCCCCCCCCCCCCAAATTAGAAACAGGTTCCTGTATTTTGGGGATAAAATCTTGTAACAACAGGAAACAAGTCCAGAAACATGAGTGTTTCATCTGATTCTAGGTTTGAGATAACAGGGCAAGCAAGGGAAATGTTTGTCTTTCCATACTCAGCAAATCTGAAGTACATTTCAGCTCTACTCTGCATGTTAGAGCATACAAGATTATGAACTACAGTAATCAGAACTATTTAAAATAAATGAAGAGGCTAACATGTAAGTTTAACATACTGATATACAATAGTTCCTGGGATAATGCCATCAACATCATAAATACCAACTTCTTAATATATTGGATATTGACAAGCATATCTTAACCCTGTATAGCAATCCATGGACAACATATATATACCTGTAGTTTAGCAATTCATCATTTTTAATGGTGTTTTTGATCATTTTCCTGTTTCTTCCACAGAAATAGTAGTGAGAGACTTCCTGGAAGGCAGACTAACCAAAGGGCTGAAATTCATGTAAGTTTTCTTTTTAAAGGAAACCTAAATCTGAATACAAACTTTGCAAGGCCAGGATGATTCAGTGCCATTGTTTGAGTTACACTTCAATCTAGAATCAAGTTGACTTCTGTGGTAATAATTTTAAAGCTAATGCCAATTTCGTTTTTTAAACCTCCTGTCTGAAGTGTTTTCTCTTTGGATTTTTTTAAAGGCTGCTTGCAAAGCAGTAGAACAAGCAAAGAGTCAAAATATCAAGAAACTGGCAATCTATACTGACAGCAAGTTTACCATTAATGGTAAGCAGTTTCTGGTTGGGGAGTGATAAGACAAAAGTCATGTGATACAGGCTTACCAAAGGAAAACCGATTGTATAAGGTATCACAATGTATTCTGAACTTGGTTTTGCTTTGACACCGCACTTAATATTTGGCCTTAAGCAGGCAATGTTTATGGCTTTATATGCAAGAATCTTGAATGGTTTAAAATGAGCAGGCTATAGGAATTTAATATGTTCATAATGTATTCTATAAGTATTTGGTTCTACACATGTCTAGTAATTTAAGTCCTGACAAATAATGAAAATGTATGTGCTTTCTTTGCAGTATTTCTATTTCAGTAAAGCAAGCAAATATGATTTGACAGAGATTACGCTCTCAAGAATAGAACTTTGGAGGCTGTTTTTTTTTTTTTAGGTAGAAGATATGCCAGTCAACAGCACTTGACTAGACAGGTTTTTTTTAACAGTTTAGAAATAATATAAAATCTATGTAGATGTTATAATAACAGTCTTAAATCACATTTTCATAGGTATGACAAGCTGGGTTCCAAACTGGAAATCCAATGGTTGGAAAACCAAGACTGGAAAAGAAGTAATAAACAAAGAGGATTTTGAAAAGCTTTCTAAGCTTTCTGAAGGCATGGACATCCAATGGGTAAGTAACGTGGCTTGGGAAAACCCGACTAAACACGTAACGAACATTATTTAAATGTGAATCAAATAAAATTTAAGCCCACGTCCAGTGGGGAGACTGTGATAACATAAACTTTTGACCACCATTGACTAACTAATATATTGCATGTGCATAATTGGCTACTTTAATAACACTATTATAATGGATATGTTACAATAATAATTTGTTAAACAGAAGCTCAGCAAGTGGTTAATGCTTTTTCTGTGTACACAAGTATATGGCTTCAGAATTTCAAGCTTTAGTAGCTGTTACTTTTTAAAATCCATCTAAATTCCAATTAACAGCAATACATTTCACTAAATATTTCACTGTCTCCTCATAATCCTAGCTTGAACCTATTTGTCCCAAAACACAGGCTCCTTTCCTTCACTGTCATTTCACTCAAATCTTCCCTCTTCTCTAGTTTGAATTCTATCTCTGATTCACACTTCTCACTGCCTCACTGTCATATATACCAGCCTTTTAAACAAGACCAGTCTCAGGGCTCCTTCAGTATCCCATGCTCTTATCTCCCAACAGATCACTTACAAAGGTTCCCAACCTTTGATCATCCAGGACATACGCGTCAAACTCAAGGCCTGTCTCGTCATTTTATGTGACCCTCCAGATGCTGGACTACAACTCATTAGGCATCATGACTAATGAGTTGTTATACAGTAACATCTGGAAGGCTGCAGTTCGTTCTGTTGAGTCAGGAGAAGGGTTTGGATTTAGACACAAGGCTTCTGGATATGATGTCTGACTTTAAAATGCCCTTTTAACTTTTCTCCAACCTCAGAGCCACAAAGGTTGTTGGGTTGCAATTCTCATGGCAGATCAGAAGTGATGGGAGTTGTCATTCAATAACACCTGGGACCAAAATTAGGTTAAAAACTAAAGAAAATTAGTTGGTTGCCTGTATCCCTGGATTCTTCGTCCATGTATTCAATTGAAGTCAACCATAAAGCTGATGCAAACTGATGAAAATGTGTTTGACACCGCTGCTCCAGAGGCCCTAATCAGTTTTGTCAACTGTCAGGAATTGTGAGAGATGAAATCTAAAAGGAGACATAAGGAAACCCTTAGTCTATAGACCCTTAGTCTATACTGTTCCTTGTTGAAAACTTGAGACTTGGGCAGTGTGGGGTTGGATTCCAACAAAAGTGACTAGGTTTCAAGTTGCCCTTATTAGCATTTAATTTAAGCATTAGCATTTAATTTAAGATTTTGGTGTGTCATCACAGAACGCAACATGTTATGCCCTTTTAGTCCATTAACTTGGATTCTTGATATCAACAGATGCATGTTCCAGGTCATGCTGGCTTTACTGGAAATGAAGCTGCTGATCGCCTGGCAAGAGAAGGAGCTGGAAAGTCTTCAAAATAGCATTTTGTAGCTGGAAAGTTGCACTGAATTCTGGGGCAGTGGTAGGAGGAAAGGATTCTTTCAGATGAACCTGAGTTGGTGAATTTCCAATGTTCTAGAAAACCAGGCGAAGGATGTGGTTATTTGCCTTTGTTCTAAAGAGGTTGTTTTCAAAAGACTTTAAAATGTTTGGTTTACAAAACGTGACAGTTAGTAGTTCTGCGCAATGTGTTGCTACAGGATCTCTTCCATGTCACCATTATTACTAAGTTCTAACAGTTTTATAAACTTCGTTAAGGACTGTTAAAAATGCATGGTAAGAAAAAATACACTGTTTGCTTGGACAGCATTGTATTTCCTATTGTGCATTCTGAAATAAAGAGTTATATTTTTGTGTTTTAATTCTTGATGATTGCATAGACAGCGCCATAGACAGGGCAAATAGCTATCTGGAAACAGGATGAGCAAACAACAGGTTTGTTTCCTAAAGTTTGCTTCCCACATTGGTAAGTTACTTGTATTTTTTCACATCTTGGATGAGAAATACCGTCCTGACATATTGAGGTACCTGATAAAAAAAGCCAGCATGAGGTAGGTTTTTAGGGATTTAGTTTCTTTGTTTTTGAATTTGATGACTTTTTTGTGAAGGGAGGGAAGTGTTGCAGAAAATGCTTTAAACCATATAATTTGCACAGAAAACAATCTTTTGCACACCATAAGGGTTCCCCCCCCCCAAAAGCCCTAAAAATGTGGTTTTTTGCAACATTGTTTGTATTTGCATGTGAAAGAAAAATGAATGAGGATCAACACCAATTTGTGAAAACAGTCTCTGGTGTAAATCAAATATTGCAGTGATCCTGTACCTCTTCCATGATGGTAATTTCATTATTTTTTCCTTATCACACCCTGAAACTAGCGGAGAGGGAAAACTGTCCCTTTGTTATTTTGTTGATTGTAGCAGATTTATTAAGCAGTTGGTCCTCCACTGAATTCTAACCAAAATACTGAAGTCCTCATATCCCCTTATGTGGTGGAGCCTCTGGTTGCGCAGTGGGTTAAACCCTTGTGCTGGCAGGACTGGTGATGGAAAGGTCTGTGGTTTGAATCCAGGGAGCGGGGTGAGCTCCTGTCTGTTAGCTCTAGCTTCTTATGTGGGGACATAAAAGAAGTCTCCCTTATCTGTGCGTCTCCTGGGCTGTGCCCTTGCAAACAGCCAATTCTCGCACACCAGAAGCGACTTGCAGTTTCTCAAGGCACTCCTGACATGAAAACAATCCCGTTATGTGCAAGTTATGTCTCTATCAGCTATTTTAAGATAGCCTTGTGCTTATTATATACACGTATGCACCTCCCCTTTCCTGCTTTTGCAAAAACAACACAAGTGGAAATGTTCCACATAACTAATTAAGGAATGGACACATCTTAAAGTGTGTGCAATAATGCCAAGAATAACTTTACAGTCTTAAGAATTTTGATTTTTTTTTTTTTAGTGTTTTATAATTTTACTTGAACAATGCTCTGGTTCTCCTGATAATGGTCTCCTATAAAGACATAAAGGCCCAACTCCTGTTGCTGGTAAAACAACAGAACACCATTAAATTATGTTGCAGCATGTCATATGTTGTGTGGACCTAAAGATCGCTAGAAAAGCATGCTGTGTTAAGAAATTGCTAGGTCCTCTTACGCAACACTTGTAAAAAGCTGGGGAAAATGTGATGACCTGAAACAACCAGCAAATTCCTAGAGGCCATTTACCCCAAATAAGAGTGAAATTGTGGATACGGATTCTGTAGTTAAGGGGGTTTCACTGTATGAAATAGTACAGGAGCTCCGCAATTTACAAACATCTGACTTGCAAACTAGTTAAGAACAGGGCTGAGACAACAGGAAGTGAGAGAAATCCGTGAATTAGCTTGGATGCAAAACCATGAAGATGTAAGTGTGTGTGTGTGTCTATATATGATAAGACTCGATACTTCCAGGGACTTTTCTCTTCTCTGGACAAGTCCTTATTAAAGCTCTTGGAATATGTGGTTTTAAAAGGGAACAGAATACTGAAATACCCAGTTTTCTGTGATGGCTTGTCCACTGTGGGGCAGCATAGTACCATATTTGTGCTTCGTTGGGAATTTTGATGTATGCATCTTCTAGCTGAAATTTGTGAGATGCTAAACAGATACACAAATATTTCCCCCATGTACTTTGTAGGCTTTGGCATTAGGAATAATTGTCCTTTGAAATAATAACAGCTACTGTTACTGCTGTTACGGAGAAAGAGAAAGTCATGATAAATTTTCCCCACCTTGGTAATATTTCAAACCGCATTTCTATGAGTTTTCAGGCTGTGTGGCCATGTTCCATATAGCCTGGAAAACATGGCCATCCAGCCCAGAAAACTCACAGCAACCCAGTGATTCCGGCCATGAAAGCCTTCGACAGGACATTTCAAACAGCCTTCATTTATCTTTTTATTTTCCAAATTGGGTCATGGTATTGGTTTTTACATTATTTGTTACCATTGCTTTTTGGATTCTGGGAAAAAAGGAAACAACAGGCTTTGGAATTGTTGAGACATTTAGAATTAATGGCCCAGCTCCAGATCAGATGAAAATGGGTATTTTGTCTTTATTGCAAGCACAGCAAAATCATAGCAGTGGGTGGCAGCTGAATTTCTTTCCATCTGCAATAAAAATTACCACCCACCTTGTTCTGGCTTCATCCTCTCTGCCTTCAGTGTCCCATGGCTGACTTATACATTATACACATTTAGGACAGTGATTCCACATGGGTGAGTTGGAAACAGCAGGGTGGAAGAGCCTGTTCAGCATTTTTATTGCACTTATGACCCTATAATGCCAGTGTTCTCATACTGGGAGAGCTAAAATATCAGGACGGGGTGGCACAAGTAAACTCAATTTCTTCCATTCCAGAAGACATTTCCAGGGGAGATAAGTAGTGGGAAGGAGGAGCCTTGGGATCTGCAAAAACATGACTACCAGGATGGAAGTTCCCTGTCTTTTTTCATTTTTGTATTAATGGGATAACATCACCAGCCACACTTCCTTTAGATACTCAGTTTTCTGGGGAGTGGTGTGAGCTCCTGCTGTTAATTCCAGCTTCTGCCAACCTAGCACTTTGAAAACATGCAAATGTGAATAGAGCAATAGGTACTGCTCCGGTGGGAAGGTAACAGTGCTCCATGTAGTCATGCCAGCCACATGACCTTGGAGGTGTCTATGGACAATGCCGGCTCTTCGGCTTAGAAATGGAGATGAGCACCAACCCCCAGAGTTGGACACGACTGGACTTAATGTCAGGAGAAAGCCTTTACCATTACTAAATTAATTTCTCACAGTCGCTGGAAAAAATGGAAAATGGCTATTCCTAGAAACACTGTTCAATATGAGCAATAGGAAGTTCCTGAGTTACAGACATCTGACTTACATATGACTCATAGTTAAGAACAGGGTGAGACAACCGGAAGTGAAAAGAAATTCTTCTTCGGAAAGGAAATTCACTCCTGGAAGAGTTATCATGGGGAAAAGGTGTCTCCATTGAAGCTTTCTCACCCATCCTTGTTTCCATGACAAGTCAAAAGTGTCAAAATCTAATTGTCACATGGACAGAAAGTGAGAGGCACAGCAAAAGAAAGTACAGAGGTATTAATTCTTCTCTATGCTATCCACAACTCATTCTCTGTGTGCATTTGGCTAGAGTTTCACTTATAAATTATACCTGCTCCGACTTACATACAAATTCAGCTTAAGAACAAACCTACAGAACCTATCTTGTCCATAACCTGGGGATTGTTTCGACCTGTTTTAATATTCAAGAGTTTCTCAACCTGGGGGTTGTGACCCTTGGCGGGGGGGGGGGGGGGGTTCGCCAAAGACCATCATAAAACATATATGGTCGTAGGAACCCCTTTGGCAGAGAAGGCTGAAGATCTCCGCCTGTCCTCCTCCTTTTTGGAAACAGGGCAAATCCGCCCACCAAAAGCCCTCCTCAGCTGTGATTGGCTGGCCTCAGCCAGGGGAAGGGCTGTTTCTGAGACTCCGAGTGGGGAGGGGAGAGCAGGCATGCTTGGCACATGGCAGCGTGGTACACATTTGTGGGCAAGGGAGAGTGTGCAAGGCTGGAGGGAGGCTCATGCCAGCGAGTCCCTTCAAGGCATGGGGGTTTTGTGGGAGAAGTTTGGCCCAGTTCTATCATTGGTGGAGTTCAGAATGCTCTTTGATTGTAGGTGAACTATAAATCCCAGCAACTACAACTCCCAAATGTAAAAATCTATTTCCTCCAAACTCCACCAGTGTTCGCATTTGGTCATATTGAGTATTTGTGCGAAGTTTGGTTCAGATCTATCATTGTTTGAGTCCTCGGTGCTCTCTGGATGTAGGTGAACTACAACTCCAAAACTCAAGGCCAATGCCTACCAAATCCAGTATTTTCTATTGGTCAAGTTTGGTTCAATTCCATTGTTGGTGAAGTTCAGAATGCTCTGGTTGTGCGTGAGCTATAAATCCCAGCAACTCTACCTCCCAAATGACAAAATTAATTCGCCCACAACTACAACAGTATTCAAATTTGGGCATACCAGGTATTTGAGCCAAATCTGTGAAATGAAAAAACATCCTGCATATCAGACATTTACATTACAATTCATAACAGTAGCAAAATTACAATTATGAAGTAGTAACAAAATCATTTATGGTTAGTGGTCACCACAACATCAGGAACCGTATTAAGGGGTTGTGGCATTAGGAAAGTTGAGAAACACTGATATACAGTATTTTGGAATGCCTTGATCCTCAATATGCACTTAAAATCTATTCACTTTACAAAGAACCTATTCCTGGTAGAGATGAATACAGCAAGGACTGATTTATGGATACAGATCAGTACTACCACCTGCAGTTTTAATCCTTGCTGAATATGGTTCTGGGGATTGTAAAAAAGGATTTTGCATTTCAAACTTGACCGATGTCTGATTGAGAACTCATATGATGTAATTTGAGCATGGACTAACAGTTTGCTTACACTGGATAGAAAACCTGGTCTAACACAAATCCACTGCTGCCTGACTCTATAAAGCACAATGACTTCCAGTAAGCATCCTGGTTTTCTTGGTGTAGTCCAACTTTATCCTGCTTTATGCTAAGTTGAGGAAAACTCTGGGGTTTGCTGGAAACTGGAGTATCCTAGGACTTGCTGGATTGGGTCTATTTTGGATCAATTCTCTGTCCAGACGGGCACTGCCTACATCACTCATCTCCATGTCAATTATACTGTTCTATACATGTGCCCATGTTGCTGCTGCTCCTTGCTGGTCCCGAAGCTCTTTGTGCTCACCTTGCCATTGTGGTCATGTCTACTGATGTGGTGCCTGCGCAACCAGCAAATAG